ATGTTCTTACCACAGAGAACACTAGTCCGGCGGAAATTGCTACCTTTCACATTCATTCAGAAGAAAGGAAACATAACCCACGCAGAGCGGGGCTTCCTACAGGGCAAATCACAGCGATGGATCATCAGACACGGATCTTATCAAAGTAAATGTCCTGTTCGACACGGGGGCTGAAGTTTCCTTTGTAGACTCCACCCTGGCTGAAAAACTTCACCTCCCCGTTCTTGAGGAGACCTCAATATTGATCAATACGTTCGGCTCTAAGGAAAATAAGAGATGTCATTCTAAACGCGTCCGTCTTGACGTGTGGGACAACGATGGTATCCCACATTCGCTAGAACTTTTAACGCACGATGGCTTGACACGTCCCCTCCAATCCCCTACTCTTTCAATAGAGGATGTGGAATTCGTCAAGTCCTTAAACTTACCACTCACTTATGAGAGTGGAGAACACCCAATTCTACCATTGGTCCTCCTTGGCTGCGACTACTTGTGGTCCTTTGTTAGGTGTGACATACCATCAATAGAGTTACCGTCTGGACTCCACGTCTTGCCGACCAAAATAGGGTATCTCGTTTCGGGTAAAGCCCAACCAAAAGGGTTTGGGGTCCAGCTGATACATCAGGTTCCAATAGAACCGCCTCCTAACGAAGCTGAACGCTGGGATCAGTATTGGTCAATGGATTCATCAGATATGTACTCCATCAATACTTTCACCAATGAGATACCCCAAGAAGAACAGGAGAAATGGGACCAATACTGGGCAATAGAAGCAGCGGGTACGGAACAGTTTGGAGGTTCAGAAATTGAGGTGCGGACAGAAGTGGATAAAAGGGTTTGGCAACAGTTCAATGAGACCATTGAACGACGAGCGGATGGATATTACGTCCGACTCCCATGGAAAGACCAATTCCCTCCTTTACCGGACAATAAGGCCTTAGCATATCAACGGCTTATGAATGTCTATGCCTCTCTCAGTAAAAATGAGCAGCTGTTGCGCGACTACAATAGTGTATTCCAAGATCAGTTAGCGCAACAGATAATAGAAATAGTCAATGAAGACGAGCATTGTGAGGGTTCCCAAATTCATTACATCCCCCATCAGCCTGTCGTTACACCACATAAAACCACTACAAAGTTGCGTGTAGTTTTTGATGCATCTTCTCATTATAAGGGATGCCCCTCATTAAATGATGTCCTGCACAGAGGACCGGTAATCTTGCCCTTACTGTACGGGATACTGTTACGATTTCGTATAGGGGAAATTGCAATAACATCGGATATCGAAAAGGCATTCCTGCAGGTTAGACTCCAAGAGCGAGACAGGGATGCGACTCGATGCCTCTGGCTCAAGGACTATAGAAATCCACCGTCAAGAACCAATATCGTAACCTATAGATTTACCCGCGTTACGTTTGGGTTGAAATCCTCACCCTTTCTCTTGGCCGGTACGACCCATTACCATCTCAATACCTACGAAACAGAAAGGCCTCTGGTGAGCGATATTAAGAGTAACATGTACGTAGATAACCTCGTATTAACAGCAGACACGATTGACGAGGGCATCTTCTACTATCAGCGGGCAAAGCAAATGTTCAGAGACCTCAATATGAATTTGAGAGAATTCGCCACGAACAATACAGAGCTTATGAATAATATCAATACCATTGACAGGACGATGGAGAAAACCCCCAAAGTATTAGGGATTCCTTGGGATATCAATGAAGATGTGATCGTGATATCATTCCAATTCCCTGAAACCCCAATAGTCACCAAGAGGACCATAACCAGTACAATTGCGACGATTTATGACCCTCTTGGTTGGGTACTCCCTCTTCTTCATAAGGCTAAAAGTTTTCTTCAAGGCCTTTGGAGAGATCAATATGAGTGGGACACTGTGTTACCGAAAGAACGAGTCGAAGAATGGAAGGATATTGTCAATACAGTCCAGGGGTTCACAATAAGGATTCCACGCTTCTTAGCACCTAAAGAAAGCAGTGTAGTCCTGCTCACGTTTGCTGATGCTAGCTCCAGTGCCATCGCAGCATGTGCCTACTTACACTACGACGATACAGCACGGCTGCTTATGGCAAAAACTAAGCTACCTTCATTACATCATAAACTCACAATACCCAAGATGGAGTTGAACGCTATTACACTAGCAATGAGGGTATCCAATTCCGTAGTTGCGCAGCTAGAGGAAACGGTTAATATCAGGAGAGTGTTCATTTTTTCTGATTCGGAAATCGTCTTAAGCTGGTTACGAAAGAAACCAAGAAACGACGTAGGCCCATTTATATACAATAGGATAACGGAAATAGGAAAAATTTTGGTACATCTAGCCAATAAAAACTTGGAAGCGAAGTTCGGTTATGTTTCTTCTGAAAGCAACCCGGCCGATTGTGGGACTAGAGGGCTCACGAAGGATGACTTAGTTGACCACATATGGTGGACTGGCCCCGCCTGGTTAGCGAACAATAACCTTCAGGAAGTAGAGAAGGGTGCTTTTGTAGCCTTCAGCGATGACGAGGGGGATACACCACGAGAAGAAGAAAAGCTTACGGAAATACTTACGGCTACAAGTGTTCCAATACCTGCGACAGACGAACTGATTGGTCACGGGCTAGTACAAACACTCACCCAGGCAAAGCGTGTTATGGCATATGTACTTCGCTTTATTCGCGCCCTTGTGCAAAAGGTCAATACCCACCGTAGCACAAAAATAGCGCTAGTTGCTGTAAGACCAATACCTTCAGGCTCTAAATTCCTCAACGCTTCTGAGGTAAAAGTAGCGGGCCAAACTCTCATCAAGAACCATCAAACGGCTAGAGTCACAGAAACCATTATACAATCGCTAGGTGACCTCAATATTCGTCCTGATGCCGAAGGTATTTTACGATGCCATGGTCGATTGGGACGCTCTGAGCTTGCGTTTGAGGCCAAGTGCCCCATTTTCGTACTGCAAAAGACGCCATTAGCAGAAATGATCATTCGGGATTTCCACCAGCACCACCACCCAGGTACGAATCATACGATTGCGTTGATTCGTCAAGAATATTGGATACCTCATCTGCGTTCCCAAGTACAGAAAGTAGTTAGGAGATGTTTACAATGCCAGAAGTTCAATAACCTACCTTATAAGTACCCCACTCAAGAAGAATTACCACAAGAAAGAGTAGTTCGATCAGCTCCATTCCAACATGTAGGCCTAGATTACTTTGGTCCACTTTCTGTGAAGGAACAGGGAGAAAAAGAAGGGCACGGCAAGTGTTACGGGGTCATATTAATTTGCATGGTGACCCGTATGCTACATCTAGATGTGGTAGCAGATCTTAGTACCTCATCATTTCTAAATATGCTGCGCCGGTTCTTTGCAAGAAGAGGAATTCCACGGTCAATAATAAGTGACAATGCTCCTACATTTCTCCTGGGAGAATCAATACTAAAGGAATGCATACAGGCGGCGTTACATGACCCGACTGTCACAACAGAAATTACCAATAACGGAATAGAATGGAAGCATATAACACCTTATGCTCCTTGGCAGGGAGGTTTCTATGAAAGGCTCATAAAATCCATAAAGCACTCCCTCTACAAAACGTTAGGCGGCGCAATAGTACCACTAGACACACTAACCACAGTGCTTATTGAGATAGAAGCCATGCTCAATACTCGCCCCCTTACCTACGTCGGGTCCGACTTTGACAATATCGCGATTCTGCGTCCAATAGATTTCATACAGAGGGAGATGGTTCTATCTTTTCCTTGGTCCCCTCCTGAAGACGATCACGATCCTATCTATGTACCATCTGAGGAACTAGTAGCGCTTCAAACGAGGAATCAAGCAGTTGAGGCGTTGGAGTCATCATACAGACTGACCGAACAATTCTGGCAAGTATGGCAAACCCAGTATCTCACTAACCTTAGGGAAAAGCATACCCTTCACGTTAAGACTAAAAAAGGATGCACACAAGCTCCAAGAGAAGGAACTTTAGTATTGATATGTGAGACGCTGCTACCCCGTCATACTTGGAAAATGGGCATCATACAGGAATTAGTGAGTAACGCGAATGGTACAGTGCGGGAAGCGGTAGTTCGTCTACCGACGCGTAGGCGAATTAGACGACCAATCAATCTCCTTGTACCGCTGGAAATCGAAGACGGTAATTGCGAAGAACCCGCAACCGAAGAACGACATGAAGAACACGGTATCGCGCCTTCAGCGAAAGAGATTCTAGACAAATTCTGAACCCCCATCCTCTCCCAAGAAGAAACCCGGTATCATATCCGTCCGTGAACCGCAAGTATTGATATGTGAGACGCTGCTACCCCGTCATACTTGGAAAATGGGCATCATACAGGAATTAGTGAGTAACGCGAATGGTACAGTGCGGGAAGCGGTAGTTCGTCTACCGACGCGTAGGCGAATTAGACGACCAATCAATCTCCTTGTACCGCTGGAAATCGAAGACGGTAATTGCGAAGAACCCGCAACCGAAGAACGACATGAAGAACACGGTATCGCGCCTTCAGCGAAAGAGATTGCTGACAATTCTGAACCCAATACTCCTCAAGAAGAACCCCGGTATCACTTCCGCCGTAGAAAACCAATAAATTACAGCGAAGATCAATTCGGGATAGGGGCACCCCTTCCCCTCAATACGTTTCTACTGGCGATCCTCGTACAGTTGCTCTGCCTCCTATGTGTTGCGGCGGCTCAGATCCCGTCTCACCTTACTTCTCAATACAATATTCAGTGTATAGAAGGCGGCGTTCATTTAACGGTCCCAGAGCTAATACCATACGAGCTTTGCGCCGACCAATACTGTGTAGAGTTAGTAAGGCCTAAACAGGAAGAAACCGTGATGTTTCCACCACAGATCATCCTGCATGATCACAAACTTCAATGGAGACTATTAGAAAACCAGACAATACGGGTAATAGAAACTTCCTGTCCCCCGGCTCCCTTCTGCAAATTTGTAACATGTACGTTTTGCAGCGCCAATATAACCAACCCTGAATGTTGGCCACTTAGAGCGATCCTAGCTGTAGCTACAATAATATACTTCTTGGTGACAGGGTGCTATGTATTCCTCTACGTACCAATAATCTTCGGTAAACCCTTTAGGGTTCTAGCTGCAATATTATGGTCAATAATTAGATTCCTTTATAGTAGAATCAAAAAGTTCAAGGGAAGGACCTCGAGAAGGGGCTTTCGCAATCGCAATCTTGCCGAAATCATAGCAATACTAGTAGTTTTGATCGCTCCATCTAAGGGATGCCAGTTAGTCGATCTTTTTGATCATTACTCTACGATTTGCACAGAAGATTCTAAGCCGCACTGTCAAATCCACCTTTCAGAAGTGTTTAAGATCAATACTTTCAAGAAAGAAGCCTGTCTCCGGCTATCTTTAAATAACACTTCTTTACACGAACTACGCGTACGATGGAAGTCTTTAGAATTGGGATGTGAACCAGAGACGGACTTGTTCACAAGGGACACCCTCCACAAAATAGTAGACAGTAAACGATGTCCCCATAAAGGCTCTTGCATAGGAGATAAGTGCGGATCCATCAATTCTTCAAGTCTTATACCCGAACTTAAAGAAGGGAACCAATACCCAGGCAATACGGCATGCGTAGAATCTTGTGGAGGACTAGGCTGTGACTGCCTACTACCGAGTTCGGGGTGTCTATTCTATAGAATCTATGCAACCCCGGTCAGCGAACAGGTATTCGAAATCTTCCACTGCAACCGATGGAAGGGAGCAGCTAAAGTAGAAATAAGTCATTTCGAAGGGGCACAAAATAGGGCCTTCACTACTATAGTGGGATTGACACCGAATTTGCCAACGCAGTGGAGATCTTTTCGCATGACACTCACATCGCTCGCATTTCCTCCGACCCCTTTGCTCAATACATACTTCATTTCCGATTCAAGGCGTACCGCATTGTGGAAGAGAGAAAACCACATTGCATTGCGATGCCCCGACCGCGCCAGCGCTCAACTACTCAATTGTACACTTTTTGATGATTGTAGGTGTACTTCAGCGGAAACCCATGTGAATTGCAGGTGCACAGACTTTTCAATATCTGACTGGTTCAATAGCACCCGAAATCAGCTCCCCGTTGTCTTTCCAGCAATAACCTTTTCGCCTCACAGAGCTTCAAGAGTTCAGGCAAGAGTTTTTTCTATGGTTACAGCAGAGGTTGTGATTACCTTCCAAGATGCCTATAAACCAGCGCTTCTCATTGATGAAGCAACCTGTGAAATAGGAGACGCAGATCTCACAGGTTGCTACGGATGCGCTAAGGGTGCCTTCAGTACCGTAACCTGTATTGCCTCCAAGGATAATGTTCAAGCAGAAGTTAGGTGTGGACAAATGGGTTTCACGATCCCTTGCAATACAACGGGGGTGGTATCAACCTTAAGATTCACTTTCACAACCGCTCAGGCATCTCTGACGTGTTCGGTGTCCTGCGGAAGCCTATCACACCCTTTCAAAATTGAGGGTATCCTCAAATTCGTAACCACGCCAAGTGAGATCCTCAATTTATGGCTCAAAGGAGAAACAATATCCAATAACGATTTCGCGTGGCCCGATTTATGGCATATATTCACCGTTTTTGCACAATGGTATAAGACCGTAGTCATTGTAGCAATTAGTTTGGGGGTGATGATAGCACTAACCTATGTGCTCCTTTCCACTTGTGGCTTCAAGATCCTTGTATGGGCTTTGACCTTGACCCCCAGGATTATCTTCTATTCCGCGAGAAAAATACTCCACGTCTGGTCCTTTTACAAACAACGAGTAAAGCACCGTAAACAGCACTAGATTTGCCAATAACATAAGGTAGTAGGAGTTAGTTAGGCAATTTTTTTTTCTTTCAGAACCAATAGACATCGAAGATGTGGACAGATTATGGATCAGAAATGCTTTTTCTCTCCCAGTTACATCAGAGCACGACTTCGGCAACAACTCTAGAGAAAGACCTGGCCAACAGCCTCAGAATGGTTCACGGACAAATCAAGGTCACGAAGACGCTGGGAGTGTCGTGGCAGCACCACCTCGAGCAAAAGTCTATTCAAGAGGCCCCAGCAGGAGAACAAGTTCTCCTAGTTAGTAAATTTCTGAGAACGGCTTCAGTCACCCGAGAGTTGTTGTGGAGCTGGACGCAGCGATTCTTAATGTTCGATTCGTTGTACCAGAGGATGACTGACTCCAATAGCATACCAGCGTGGAGAAGAAAGGAATGGCTAGAGCAGGGAACCGAGCATGACACGCATGCGGCGGACTTGATTCCAATAGCTGAAGAGAACATGAAGAAGCTGGACCAGTATATAGCTGCCATCGAAGGAGAACTTGCTAAGGCTGAAAAATCGCTTCAAGAAGAGAGAAATGTGCTATCAGATTTTGTGCAAGTGACGAAGCAGATTAAGCAGACCTCCGAAGGAGAAATGAGCAACGAAGCCAACGTGGAGGTCTTGACGGACGATGAATACCTTGATCGGCTGATAGAGGAGAACTGGGGAGGAGAAGAAGAAGCTCGCAGCACGGAGGAACAAGGTCCCAGTGTTGAACGAAACGCTCCAACACAACAATCGGAACTGGCGAAACTGCAGAAGGAATTGGAAGACCTGCAATATGCGGAGTTCTATCTCCCACAGAGAAAAATTATGCAATATCACCAAAGAAGAGAGACAATGTCGCGTGCACATTCTGTGGCTCGGTTGCTCACTATTCGGACTCCTGTCCAAAAATAACGGACGGTGATGAGAGATACCGTTTTGTCAATAACCGGGATCTGTGTCAATACTGTCTGAAAGAGCGCCATCTCTTCGGGGTATGTTCTCGAAAGGAAGACGGTTGCTTCTACTGTGATATCATGAGAACGAAAGAGTGTCTCCGTTTTTTGATCCCGAACGATGGAGGCCATCATCGCGCGTTGTGCAATGTGCCGAATTCAAGAAACCGCATCGTGGAAAGAATTCACGAAGTAGAGCGCGAAATAGAGGAGGTAAGAAGAACCCTCTGACTCTGTTGGCCGGAGTGTCGCAAAAGGCGACTTTTTCCTAGATTCAGGCAAGTATTAATCGTGTTTACATTCCTTTGTGCTAAGTGATTCATGGGAAATCTCACTTCTCAAAACATAAGAATCTTCGGGAGAAAGGTGTTTATATAAACAGGTTTTACAGATTCAATGTGCACGTATCGTAGCTGTATAAAAGCTTCGTCATATTACCCCTGGGCAGATTTTCCATCAAGATTCCATCGGGACTTCATCCCCACGTCATCCGGTGATTCTGGTCTGGCAGTCAATACCATCAATACTCGTCAACCCCTCAATAGAAGAAAACCGTCTCGGCGTCTCCGCGGCTTCGATCTCCCGGCCGATAAGCTCGCACTACTGCGACGCGCTTCTTCCCTCAAGGTCGTGCACCTGGCTACTCTTCCGGCGGCGGACTACTTCAATAGAAGCTGATTGGTCTGTATTTCAATACTCCATCCTCCGCGGATCCAGCTCAATAGACGACGACGCCACCTGCCAACCAAAAGGAGGAAGAAGACTGGTGCTCTATTCCTCTTATCAACTACCGGATTAATAAAGTATTGGGATTCTTCTAGTATTCCCTCAATACGCGTGGCCAGTGACGAATTCACTGTTTGGCGAGCATTTGCTACAATTTGGTGCATCGGGATTCGACTCCAGGTCGGTTTATCCAATACCTTTCTATATCTCGGTAGTCAAAACTATCGCGGTCTTTAAAATCGTTTCATTTTCTTTCTCGAACCGCTCATTTCGGACATAAGTTCCTCCTTTCGTTTGTCTTCTCACTTGTCGATTCTCTCCCATGTGCCAATATGTCTCATATAATCTCGGCCCAGAAAAGGCTCATTACACTGCACG